AGACACGTAGTGGGCCTAAATCGGAGTTTTAATGAAGAAGTTGTGGTCAACGGAAGTGCAGTGGCACAACCGTAAATTTTTTAAAGTTGGATTTTAAAAACAGATCAACTCTCTCTCTCTCTCTCTCTTTCCACATGTCAGCCCTCCTCTCGATACTCAACTTCAGGTGGCGATTTCGTCACCGTCTGGCTTCCGTTTCAAGCGAAATTGGTTGGAAACGTTTCGTATCGACGTCCTCTATCTAACCTACCCATTTTCCTAGCTCAAAAACCCAAGGAAATTCAACTGGAACGACTGGAAGTTTGGGTGATTTTTGAAGTTTCCGAAGTCGTTTTCAGTGACTCCAGCCGCCATTTTTGTCGAGTGAGGTATGAAACTTCATCTACTCTTCATGATCTTTCTGATTATGTAGGTATTGTAGATCTATTTTGAGGTTTTACGGATCGTTCAATCTACCCATATTAGGTTGGCGATTTGGCCTTGATTTCATCGAGCTCCTGTCACGTTTTGGCCATGGTCCAAGAACAAAAAGTGTTCCCCTTGTTAGTCTGAATGTATTGGTATATGTACTATAGGGTGTTTCGAGAATTTTTCATCATCAGAATTTTCTCAAACCACCTATGCACTGGCGGCGTGTGGGCCATGGTGTGGTGCTCATTGTGTTCTGATTTGATCCCTATGTCGTCCCAACTGCGACGGTATGCTCGGATTCGAATTTGGTTATCTTATGACAGTCGAACAGATTTACGCTTATTTGGTGATATCCGGGTTCGATATATTTGGACCATTGCATTGACTCCAATTCCAAGTATGTTGTTCTCTGTATCTTTAGGATCATGTAGGAACTCACGGATCGAGTATCTGAGTCTCGGATACTCTGTATCAATGATTTTAGGGTTAGATAAACACGTGACAGTCTGATTGTGCGATCGAGAAAGATCCGATCGCTCGATCAAGACCAAACTTTCAGGACGTGTTCAGTAGACCTTGTTGGACCTCTAAGAAGTTTCGGATTTGAAATCGGAGGTCATGGGCCCCGCGGGCCACGTTGACCAAAATTGCAAAGTTTGACCAAACTATTGACCACGGGTCTTTTGAGACATCCTTTGGAAAGTACTAGAATATCCTTATGACTTTTCTAAGGTGGCGGGTCCATATTAAGTCCCAGGAACTAGGGTTTGATCTTAATGCGAGGTTGAGGCCATATAACGAGTTTTGGTAGTGTTTGGACATTTGATTTAGTGTGCATTACTCTCTGAACATTTGAAAGGTATGATTATAGTGCTTTAATTTTGAGATTTTAATATTGTTTAATTATGGTTATTGGCTGTTATATTGATATATATGAAGCTTTAGGGATGATGTGAATTGATGCATGATTTGATGTTAAATGATGATAATTCCTGTGTGAATCTGGAATTCAATAAGGATAGTGGAAACTCAATCGATTGGTATTTAATATTTTGATTTGAAGTTATGAATGTGTGGCGTTTGGAGTATATGCTTTTGGGAGTTGCTATCTATACTACAATATTTTGAGTTATGGAAGATATGATTATGGGATTTCCAGGGATTACTATTGTTATGAAACTGGATTTTGGATCTTGGCGATGACACGCCATCTCATGTACCCGTCCTTGGATATTGATACTCAAATTGATGGATAATTGGTACTTGGAAATTGTGGTTATGGTTTGGATATGTCAGAACTCGGGCACTCTTGACGGGGTGTTACCATATGCCCTTGACAAGCATTTAGCCATACGAGTATTAAGGATTCTACTATGCATTTATGGGAGCCCGGTCCTCCGGTTGGATGGCTCGTCCCTGGCCACATGATTGTTGAGGATTCCTCTATGTCGTTCAGCCAAACGATCCCCGTGTTGGATTGTTTTCCCTCAGTTCATGATGTGCACTATCATATGTACTCCAGTTGGATACTGATACTTGGAAACAGTGGATATGAATACTTGAATACGTGAAAATAGATACTTGGATATATCGGAACCTGGGCACCCTTGGCGGGGTGTTTCGTAGGCCCTTGGCTAAGCAATCTGAGCACGTAGGACATTTCACAAATGCACGAGTATTGAGAATTCTGCTGTGCGGGTTGGTGAGCCTAGTCCCCCGGTTGGACGGCTCGTCCCTAGCCACATAGTTATGGAGGATTCCTCTGTGTGGTTCAGCCAAATGATCCCCGTGTTGGATTGTTTTCCCTTAGTATATGATGATGGTGTGGGGTGTGCATATATATGTGTGTGTGTGTGTGTGTGGATTTGTTTTCGAGTTGAGATTCTTGAACTTGTGCTTCGTGAGTACTTTGCACAGGTATGGTTGTGGGAAAGAACTGATAAAGGAACTTATAAAGTGTTTAGTATGTCCCTTGTCGAATTTGAAGTTGTAAATGAATCTAAATGTAATCGTTGGTATTACTTTATATAATCATATATTATCTTAATCGTGATTGTTGATATAAGAACTACGTCTAGCTTGATCCCTTACTAAGGGGTACGTAGGTAGCCTGGGGTTTAACCTAGATGCAGCGGCAAAATAAACTCTTTGAGCTGCACTTGCATTGTTCTAAGTGTGGAAATGAATGTTGGAAGGAGAAAGTCTTTTCTGATTGTTGTTATGATATTTGATATGGGTATATGGATTTACAAAGGAGTTCAAAAGCAAGAACGTTTTACAAAATGTTTGGTTATGAGGCCGGAGGGTTGTTTGTTTGTGCGTGTGACGTACTTTGTGCATGCTGAAGTTTGGTGATTTTAAAATGTGCTTTTGACAAGTTGAAAAATTTAGTCCAAAATTTCAGTAAAAGTGTCGACCCTCTTTTCCTTTGTTTTAGGAGAACAGGATGTTTGTAATTAGTAAGTAGGCCCGGCATCGGTTGGATGTCAGACAGGTAATAGGGTTCGACACAGATTCCGAGGGGGAATTCGGGTCGAGTCTAGTCAAGGAAATTGTTTTGACTAATATTGTCCACCTTGGGAAAATTTCGCTTGCTAGGTAGTACCCACCCAAGTAGATGGTATTGTTGATTTCGTATGTGATCTGAGGGGATTGACTGAGCACATTGAGGTCGTTTCCCACAACTCTAAAAAGGCATACTAAACCCAAGTATTGAATGATGCAACGGCTTCTAGAATCATATTTTTTTGGCCCTTCCTATTCCCATAATCTCCTTGCCAAGCAGTTGGGCAATTCTTCCACTCCCAATGCATGCAGTCGATACTTCCAATCATGCATAGGAAACCTCGGCTTTTTGTAGAAGCCTTTGGAGGTCCTTAGGCGTAGGTTTGCGGATGTAATCCCTCGTGTAGATAGTTTCGATTGCATCACAGAATCTGACCAAGCTTTCTAGGATAGTGGATTTCTCAATCCTAGAAATCTCATCCACTTGGTCTGCAGATACACCAAACACCAGCATTCGTGAAGAAATTGTAAGTCTTTGCTTAGGAAGAAGACCCAAAACCTTAGAAGCATCATACTTATGAACGAAGTATGCGTCATAATTGCAAACATCATGCATGATTTTATTGAACAAATGTGGGTGCATTCTATATCGCCCTCGAAAATCAAAACTAGAGTACAACGAATTTGGGACAAAGTAATCTTCCAAGAGATTCTTACCCCCAAGAGCGCCTAAGCCTATCCATGTTCGGTCTACGGCTGGGTTGTGAACCACAGTGGTGTTGCCTTGATTGATGGAGCATACCTACTGCCATGGCAGCTTGATCATCATCTTCTTCCCACTCCCCTTCTTATTCAGCACTTTGCACATTCTTTCTTAATTTTCTCGCTCTACCTTCTCCAACAACCTCCTCGTGTAAGACACTGACAATAGAATGTGTTTTCTAAAATCTGAGAATTCAAAGGAATAACGATGATAAGGTGTGAGAGGTTTGAGTTAAGGTTGTGGTTTGATGAAGGGATTTAGAAGATAGAGATTATACGTGGCGCAATTGTAGCAATTGAAAATCTTATATTTTATCTGAAATATGAGATGTGAATTTTATAATAAATATTGACACGTGATAACTGAAAAATATTATCCAAAGTTATTGTTTAAGTATAAAAAATAAAAATAATTTAAAGTGAATAGTAATTGCCATTTGCTATCGTAATAGTAATAGTCATTGACTCCCCTTGTCTTTTACCATGGCAAATAGGTGGAAATCCTCTTAGGGGTCAAGTGGGTCAAATGGATTGGGGTTGTGATGTGTGTGACTTGAGGAGTTTTGTGGTGTGGGTGGGGAAAGTGGCTGGGGGTGGAGGTGGACATGGCGAATGATACGTTGTTGTTGAGGAGAAAGAGAGAAGAAAGGAGAGAATTGTGGTGGGATGAGTAGGCAGTCAAGGGGAGGCACTGATAGTGGCAAATATTTTTCATTTTTCTAGTTTTTATTTCTAAAAGTTTTTATTTATTTATTACTAGCCCCTTTACACATGCTTACGCATGTGCCAATTGGTTTTCATTTTTCTTTTATTTTTAGAATTAAGAAAAGATAATATGGGTAATTAAGTTCCATAAAAGTAGGATCTATTATCTGATTTTTTTTTTAATTTTAAAATTTTAAAATATTAAAAAATATAAATTTACCATATTATCTTCATTTAATTAATAATTTTAAGTCTTAATGTTTGAATTAACCAATGGCATTTTCTGGTATTTTGAATATTTCATCATTTTCTGCCTTTTGCTTTATATATATAGATAATTATAACTTTTAAATTAATATTAAATATTTTTTTAATTTTTTTTAACAATAAAGGATCATATTAACTTATATGTGTGAACACAACGACTAAATTTATCAAACTGAAAACACAGCCCAAATAAAAAAGAAGAAAACTAAAAACAGTCAGTGATGATCAAGCGGTTTTTGTTTTGTACTCTAACGGGTGAGATTCACTGCTGCTGATCCGACGGTTCCATGGGGAAAGACCATTGCGCTCTGCCCCATTCTCTCCTTCACTATTTGCCGGTTTAGATTTCCATGAGGAACAGCAGAAGAGTTGAGCAGCTGAGTTGACTTCCATGGCCACCCAAACAGCCTCAAGGCCATCCTCTTCTTCTTCTTGTACAGACCCTAGATGGAGACGTGATGTCTTCCTCAGTTGCAGCGGCGAAGACACGCCCAAGAGTTTCACGGATCCCCTACATGCTGCTTTGACTCGGAAAGGAATTGGCACTTTCAGATTTAGTATGGAAGAAGAATTTTATTCCCAAGCAATCGAAAACTCAAGATTTTCGATCGTTGTTCTTTCAAGAAAATACGCCCATTCAATACGGTGTTTGAATGAACTCGCAAAGATCGTTGAATGCATGAAGAAGATGGAGCAGAAAGTTCTGCCAGTTTACTACGATGTAGATCAAGCTGAGGTACAAAAACAGTGTGAGAATTTCGGAAACGCCTTTCCCAAACATTTGCAATTTTGCATAGACCATAGAGAGAAAGTGTCAAGTTGGAGAGCTGCTCTTGTTGCAGTAGCCAATCTCCCTAGATGGGACGTACTAGATCCGTGAGTAATTCTATTCCTCCTCCACTACTTTCATTTCATATCAAGTGGCAACTTGATTTTCCAACTGCGAAAAATACATATGCTCTCTTTGCTTTTTCGTTTTTAACTTGTTTTTTCTTTTGGCTATCTTTGGTATGGCCATTTTTAGCTGTAGGACGTGCACAATTTTCCATAATAACATATAGAAATTTATTCTAGCTTTGTAATGATGCTGGGCTGGGGTCACTCAGCTTGTTTGTTGCTCAAGTAGCATTGGACTTCACAAGAATAATACTTTTAGTTGTGGAAGTCATCCTTCAGTTTTGACTTGGTGCACTAGTACCTCAAAGAACAAAAACTACTTGTTGTGATTCTTATACGGTCGTGAGATTAATGTTTAATTTCTTCTGTGTAGGTACAAAACACAAGATATTGAACTAATTGTTAAAGTGGTAGGGACCGAGTTGCATTCCCCTTCTCTTGGGAACCCAACGTATGGCCGAAGTGTATACCAGTGGGATAAGGAATCACTTGAGAAAAAGAAAACTGATGCAGTCAAGGCGAGTATTCAAGGCCTAGATGACAATGAGAGGAGAATATTTCTAGATATTGTTTGTTTCTTTATAGGAATGGAGAAAGAGCGAGTGGAAGAAGTACTCGATGGTAATGATTGTTGCCCTAGCATTGCAATAGAAAACCTCATTAGCAATTCCCTCATAACTATTCTAGACAATAAAGTAATGATGAATAGGTTGATACAAGAAACTGGGGAAGAACTTGTTCGTGCCGAGTCTCCTGGGGACCCTGGGCTGCGAAGCCGGTTGTCTGTTCCTGATGACATCCGTAATGTATTGGAGAACAATAAGGTAACTGGTTATGTAGAAAGATGAAGCATATATAGTATCATTTCATATGACATACCGCATTACTTGATCATCAATCTATATCCTCTTTATCAACTTATTCTAATATTCTTTGTTAATAGGGAACAAAGGCAGTTCAAGGTATAGACATAGACTTTCCTACATTTGAAGAGACAGAATGGAACTCAAAGGCCTTCTCTAATATGCCTTGCGTTAGATTTCTACGAATTCAAAATGTGGGTATGGCCCAAGGCCCTGAATATCTTTCTGATGCCTTAACTCATCTTGAGTGGAGTGATTATCCTGCAAAATCCCTCCCACAAGGTTTTCAACCTAACAAACTTCACGAACTGAACTTGTGCTATGGCAACATTGAACAGATTTGGTATGGGATCAAGGTATAATCATGGAAACCAAACAAAATGTTGTTATACCAATTATTTTATTTGAATAATTACAAAGTTTGTGTTTCTTTCTTTTTGACAGTACTTATACGAGTTGAAAACCATCAATGTTAGCCACTCTCAGAACCTGACCAGGATGCCAGACTTTTCAGGTACACCAAACATTGAGAAATTAGTTTTTGAAGGTTGTATAAGTTTGGAGGAGATCCACCCATCCATTCATGGGCTCAAAAGGCTTAAGCTCTTGAATCTTAAAGGTTGCACAAGTCTTAAAGTTCTTCCAGACACAATGGCGATGAAGTCCCTTGAAAGATTTATTCTTTCTGGCTGTTCAAATATTACAAAAATTCCAGATTTTGTGGTACCTATGGACCACTTGTGGGAACTTTCTTTAGATGAGACTGATATTGAAGGATTACCTTTATCAATTGAACATCTGACTGCTCTTACTTTGTTAAATCTAAGAGATTGCAAAAATCTTAAGTGTCTTCCAAGTGACATTCACAAGTTAACGGCCCTCAAAAGTCTCAATATTTTTGGATGCTCAAGACTTGAAGACCTGCCAGATAACTTGGGGAAGATAAAGTGTTTGGAAGAGCTTGATGTGGGTGGTACCTCCATATGTGACCTACCATTGCCCATTTTCTCTTTGGAGAATCTGAAAGTATTATCTCTTAAAGGGCTACCAAGAAAGAGAACAGGTCCATTGGGCTTGCTGTTGCCAGGTTTATCTGGTTTGTCTTCTTTGACAGTGTTAAATCTCAGTGGCTGCAAATTTCGGGATGGAACAATCCCATATGATCTTGGTTGCTTAGTCTCATTAGTGTTACTAGACGTGAGTAAAAGCAATTGTTCTGGACTTCCCAGAAGCACCAAACAGCTTTCTAAGCTTCAAAGTGTGAAACTGGAAGATTGTAAGAGCCTTCAGAAATTACCAGACCTATCCTCAAGTATAGACTTCAGTGTTGGATCAGATAGCCGTACTTCACAGGAAAAGCTGTCTTGTCCATCGAATTTGTTCAGAATGGGGGACTCATGCTTCAATTTTATTAACTGCTCCAAACTAGTTGGCAACCAAGACTGCAACAGTATAGTGTTTACTCTGCTGAGGAGGTTCCTGAAGGTGCTCCCCCATTCCACAAATTCTCTCTCTCCTCTCTTCTCTTACCTCTCTCACATCAATTGTTTAACACAGTTTCTATGGTACAGGGAAACTGTTCTCCAGGATGCAGGTTTGAAACTATAATTCCTGGCAGCGAAATTCCTGAGTTTTTCTGTCAAAGTTCAGGGCATGTAGTAAGCATGAACCTGTCTCAGCATTGGTATGAGAATAAGTGGATGGGATATGCTGTTTTTGCTGTTTTTGCTCTCCGTCCATATTGTACAGCTAACATGCTTGGCAGATGGAAGTTTGGAATCCCCAGTCTTGGCTGTGAAGTTAAGCCCAATAAGTTGGACGTACCAGGTTCGTCTCCTTTCTTGGGTTGCCATGAAGAATTAGGCCGGATTGAGTCCGACCATCTTTGGTTCGCCTTTGTACCTGGTGAGTATTTTGGTACAGAATGGCAGAACGTCTGTCGTCACCTTGAATTTGAATTTAAAACCATTGGCACTGGTTTGGAGGTGAAGAAATGTGGGGTCCATTTGATATATGAGCATGATTTTGAAGATAGGAAACTAATAATGACTCAATCTAGAGGCATTGTCTCTTCTTGTGAGGTTGTTAATAGATCAGAAGCTGCACAAGGTACCATTGTCCAACAATCCTTTTTTCTACGGCAAACCGGTAGGTGATATCCATTTATCAAAGAGATCTCGAAATTGATTTACCAGGAAACTCTCTGTCTCCCTCTCTGTCACATTCATTTGAACCCATCTTTATGCTATTTGGAAGTGAGTCTGGGAGAGCCAGAATCAGTTATGGTCACTTCCAAATGAGCCTTTAGAACCCTCAGAGGACTTTGATTGCAATTTTGTTTTTTTCTTTATAATTTATGATTCTTCATTCCCTCTTGAGTGAAATACTGGATTGGTATAGCCATCACAGTAATGTATAGCCTACCAATTGTTTTTTTGTAAGTAGAACATTTAGATTGGGATCGCTTATGTACTTCTTGCTCCATCTCTGAGCATCCAACCTGGATTATCCAGATTTTGAAAATTTTCATCTTCCTATGGGTCAGTTGGATAATTCTTTCATGTTGACGTGGTTCTACCCTATGTGGATTCTGTTTTTTTTCTTTTAGGTTGGATTAGGTGGATTCTGTTTGATGGCCCCAATTTCCATGCACCCTTCTGTACTCTATTTAAAATTTTGACACTGATTTTAACGATTAAGTTTAATAAGAAAGAAAATAGACACTTAAGCCAGATTCTATAGAAATGAGTCTAATAATAAATAAAATAAACACTAATTCCCCAGTTTGTAACCTGTTTATCAGCATGCTCGTTAAAATTTGTTTCTTTTTTAAGTTTTAATAGAGCTTTCTTTGTGCTGTTTTTATTACACCTCAATAATTGCTAGCACCCTCGACCACCAGCTTCGGCCGTGTAACCGTGTTGCATCTTCAAGGAGACTCGTACCTTCACTCTCAAAAAGAGGAAATCTCAATCACAAAACTTGCTTTTATGATATTTGTTGAGTTGCATAATATTTATATTAAAAAGTCAAAATTCAAATTCTTTTAAAAAAAATTCATTTTAACACCGATTTGAGCATGATTTGTACCAAAGCACTCGTGCTATAGAGTTCTACATAAATAGATCAATCTAAAGTTACAAAAAATTTACAAGTTTTAAACCGTTATATATATAATATTTAAAATAGACATATAGCTAACAAGGTCTAGCCTAATGAAAAAGGACATTGACGTGCAAATTAGTAGTCTCTGGTTTTAACACCCATGACACCTTGATAGTGTGTATATAAGAAACCCCTTCATTGTAGTTTAGATTATCACTTGTATTAAAAAAAACTATATATATATATATACAATGACAACAAAGTGCGACAATCAAAATTTTCTTAACTTTACTTTGTGACTTGATTTTGTTCATATTCTTCAGTTGTTTTGAAACAAACAAATAATTATCGTCATTTTTTCAAGAGTCTCATCAAAATTTAAACTGTAAATAGAACACACCATGTACAACAATCACTATTTTCTTCGCTTAGGTTTTTGATCGGTTTATAATTACATATCATTTTGTACCTTGCTAACTTATGATTTTGTTATGTTTTTGAGTTAAACTTGTGCTTTTAATATCTGTTGTGTTTGTTTTAGTGTATTAAGCTTTGAGACTCATTAAATGCATTTTGGACAAAACGGTGTCTGCAGATCAGTCAACTTCACGGATTGGACTGTACTAGCTCAGGAAGAACCAGATAATGAGGCCTATATCATTGGAAAGATACGGAAGTCTAGTTTATGGAGCATTTTACGGTTCATAATTCTAAATCTTCTGGAAGAAGTTATACTCGTTTTGGCAGCTTAAGGTCAAATTCAGCAGTATTTGCGTTACTGGGCCAAAAATGACATTTGAAGGTCTTTCCGATTTTTCCTTGAGCTGGGCTGCATATACTTGGAAAGATAAAACAAAGAGCTTCAAGATCCATATTTTTCCAGATCTTTCAGATTTGAGGAACAAGCCCAAAAAAGACTGCAATGCATTGTCATGCATGACATATGCATGAGCTAGCCAAATGAATTAAAAGAAGATGAAGTGGGAGCTGCAACACTAAGCCTAAAGACAAGAGAGACTGTTTTCAAATGCATGACATTTGAAGGTCTTTCCGATTTTTCCTTGAGCTGGGCTGCATATACTTGGAAAGATAAAACAAAGAGCTTCAAGATCCATATTTTTCCAGATCTTTCAGATTTGAGGAACAAGCCCAAAAAAGACTGCAATGCATTGTCATGCATGACATATGCATGAGCTAGCCAAATGAATTAAAAGAAGATGAAGTGGGAGCTGCAACACTAAGCCTAAAGACAAGAGAGACTGTTTTCAAATGCAATAGTGTGTTAGGAGAAGTGAGTGTGATTAGTGCACTCAATTGTATAATTAGATTTTTATGTTTGTGGTATTATGAAAGTTGTCGCTATCTTCAGTTCTCACGCTTCTGAGGCGGCGAGGGGGGGGGGGGGCTGTGGGGAGCTTTCAAACACTTCTCTAGAGCTCCCCTCTCTTCTCTCCCTCAAATTCTTTTAGTTTTCCATTCTAGTTCTCAATTCTAGTTTTCCTTTTGCTTCTCAGTTGTAATTTATTTTTCTTTGTAATGTAAATTCTTTTCTTAAGTTTTCAAGTTTGATTAGTTTCCAAGTTTCAAGTATGGTTTTTGTTCTTATTCATTATGCTTATAAGTTAATATGCTTCTTTGAATGATTGATCACCATTAAGGCTTGCATGTTAGCTATCTTGGTTTGAATTAAGAGTAGACACCATGCTTTAATTCGAATTGAACTATGAATGGGAATAGTGTGTATAGAATTCGACAATCTGGATTAGATACATACTTGGTTGTTTTAAATTTTCTTCTATGCTTAATGGATTCCTAATGCTTAATTTAGATTAGACAACAGATGATCAAATTAGGGAATTAGGAATACAAGGTTAGGGCCAGACACCATACTTTAACTAGAATCAATCTGTTAATCTAAATTGAACTTGGGAACTTATTTGCTTGAGTTAGTTATTTTTCACTACTACAAAATTGAAATAGACAATGGGAAACCACTGTCGTCTAGAAGGTTTTCAAACTGACGGAAAATCGACCGACATCTTTTGTACATCCAACAACGACGGCTATTAACCAACGTTGTTAACACATTCAATGTCCAACACTATTACAAACCGATGTGTAACTATATATATAGCCTAAAATGAAATCTTCGACAACATTAGACGACAGTTTTATGAAAACTGTGCCATCTAAAGATTGTTACATGTCAAGATCCAAACAAGAATTGACGTACATATAATTATCCACGTCCCTAATTGAAGGAAAACAAACTTGGATAACCTAAAAACCATCGAGGATAAATACAAAATGAAACCGACGTCTAAAAGATAAAGGACGACGCGCACACAAACCACCAGACTTTTAAATCAGTTGTCGCTCAGTAACGGCCATAAAATGACTTAACCACGTCTCTTTTTGCGAGAATCGTTGTCTAAATTACACAAAGAAGCCCCTTTGACAGAGTTAGACGTCGCTTTTTTTTGCAGAACCGACGTATGAGATGTTTAAAATGACACAATATTACTTAATAACAACGTAACAAGGCCTACCCACAATGGTTGTTGTCAAAGGCTGACGTTACAAAACATATTGAAGGTGTGGACAGGAAAAGAACCGACGTGGATTATATTTTCAACGTCAAAGGCTTTAAAATAATGGACGTGGTTAAGTACTTTACTACGTCATGAGGATCCAAATGTGTGACGTTGTAATCACTTACCATGTCGGTTTTGAATACATGATGACGTGGTTGTCCTTTTAAAAGTCGCTTGTTTAACCCTCATTGACGTGTGTATTCTCTGAGACATCCGTTGTTTTAGACTAACCGACGTGCAGAAAATCTGTCACGATAGTTATTGGAACTGAGCTGCCTTTATTTCCAATTTTAGACGACGGTCTTTGTTTTGTAGCCGGTCGCTGAAGTTTATTTCTCAATAAACTGACGTGTTTTCAATTTTAGATGGTGGTGTTTTTTGTTTATGGTCTTTTGTATGTTCTTTCCATGACATTTTTGGGAACCCGACTTTGGTTTTATTTTACACATCTGTTTTTCCAATTTTTTTACTGGACCGTCGTACTTTACACCTTTAACCCAGTTTTTATTATTTTTGATTTGTTGTTCCCAAAGCCTGCATAATGAAAATGTGATCAGAATTAAAATGAAGTACAAAGTTATTAATTAATGTCAAACAATTAATTGAATAACTAATATCATACATTACAACAATCAATCAATCCATATATCTTCACACCTATCTCTAATATTTTCACTCCCGAACTCATCCACTAGGTCATCAAATGTGTCTACATTTGGTATCCCTCTAATAAATGGCTCACACTCAATTCTAATATCACCTAGCACATCATCACCAATAACATCATTATATTCTCTATTAGGCATTGATAACACTATCGACCAACCACGATGCATTGAGTCGTCAACATAAAATACTTGTTTAACTTGAGAAGCCATAACAAATTGGTAATTCCTGTGTCCAATTTTACTCAGATCTACAAGGGTAAATCCAAGTTCGTCGACTACAAGGCCCGAACTGTTATCTATCCAATCACACCTCAAGACTGGAATTCTAAACTTTTGGTAATCAAGGTCTCAAATTTCTTGAATAACACTATAAAAACCCATATTGGAGACAATAGGGTTTTTATCCTTGGCACTAGCAACTTGCATAGTATGTGCAAGTAAATAAACTCCACTATTTTGGACAGTTCGCACATCATCTTGTGCCTTGGTGTTAAATTTAACACCATTAATAAGATAGCTCCTATATGATGGCACTGCCATGCTTGGACCAGCTGCTAGCCACCTCAAATTTTCTTATACGTCATTATGCTCTTCCCCATTAAGTTCACTTTGAACCTGCAAATTAATCATATGTATCTTAATCAATCTAACATATAGAAAGGAAGAAAATTAAAAGTTGAATATGTCATTCAATAACATATATACCTTAAAGTGTAGCCATTGAATGAAAGTGCTATTGTGCTTATCTTGTAGCCACTTTGTTCTCTTTCTAAATTTTGGATAAGTGTCTTGATGTGGATCATATGTTCCCTACATTGACACGAAAAATCAAGAATTATGGTCCCTTGTGTAAAAGATAAACATAATGAATAATAAAATTTAAAATGGCTATAGATGAAAAATAAAACTCATACGTACTCGATATAAGGTAGGACTTCCTCTGTATTCTCCAAGACATATAGATGTGCTTGGTTCAACAAGTCCCGATCAACTAAGCTTACTGTGCAACCTGATAATGGCTTCAAACTCCCATCTTCTGGCTTGAAGGCACTCCAACTGTACTAATATTAGATAAATGTTCAGTGCAAAACTCTACAGCTTCTTTAACTATATACCGCTC